CTTGCAAATGCATTGGACAGATTAAAATGAACATTTTGTATAGGGACTTAATTGTCCACAAAGTCAGCACATAGGCGTCTGTATCTGGACTGCAACTGACAATCTTGATCAATGGTCTGCATGGATCATGGGGTAAACCTCACAAGATTTAAGCAAGTCTATCAGATTAAGCCAACCTGCATACTCAGGGCACTCCTCTACTGCAGCTCAAAACATCCATCTGTCTTCCATGACCTCTTGGGAAGTCAGCCAACAACCAGAGCAGCTCTAGAAATTAGCTGACAACTCAACATGAGGGAGGGGGAGGAATGTAAAGCTTTTCCCTGCAGGACTGTGAACAAAAATAATATATATATAAAATGAATATGCATGAACCCAAGAGTCCAATTTCGGTTTTGGGGGGCCCTTTTTGCAATGCATCTGTCACTCAGTCTACTTCCCCACCACCACTTTCACCAGCTGCTCTTTCTCATTCTTGCCACTGCTATCACTCGCTTGCTTAACCAAGAGCCAGTGTGCAAGCAGGCAGCGGCATCTCCTACTACTTCTCACTACTATGACTGTTGGGCCAGGCAGGAAATAGATAAACCAAGTGGATCACAGTGGCGAAGAGGAGAAATCCAGAGGCTCTTGTCAAGTGGTCCCTGCTGGCCCTTGGCACATGTCCAACCATGCCTAGCCTTCACATCCACCCTGACCAACTCTGTTCCAATATGTCCCGGCATGCAAGAAGCTGGTATTCATAAGCATCAGGTGATCCTGATATCAGGAAAGTTACAAGATATAGTGTATTTTTATCCCACTAAACTGAATGTACCTTGCTGATAACCTACCTAGTCTGTGTTCTTCATGGGAAGCAAAAAAACAGAGGAGTTACAAGGAGGAGGCATGGAAAGCCACATGGAAAGTATCTTCCAAGATACATTTGGTTTGGTGGGTCATAAATTTTTCATGCCCATCTTAAAGAAAGAGAAGGGAAAGAAGAGGAAAACACTTCCCTTATTCTTAAAATGAGAATAAAAGTCTAGGACTGCTTCTGCTTCTGTTAACATATTTCATCAGATGAATGCTAAACATGCCCATCAAACATTTCAAGGCATTTAGAAAATGTTGAACCAAATGTATAAGTTGTCAATTAAAAATGAAAGGCTGCTAATCCTGGCCAAGGATCAACAATAGTTGCTTCAGCAAATGCAAAGATGTACCACAAGATAAATTAGAATAATATTTGAATACTTGGGACATAAGCATGAAATATTAGCTGCCAGAACAAAGTGTTACAGGAGGTGAAGCTACTGTATGCATCCACTGAGGATCAGGAATGGGAAGCAGGGTTTTCTTTAACTACATCAGTGGAAAAGATATGCTTTTGCTCACTGTTAGGTACACAAACACAGAATGACAGAGGAAGATGGGCCCAACCCCCAACCAGCATCAGGCAAATACAAAACATACAATCTATAACCAGCATCTGCCTGTACCTGTCATCTCTATGGCACATGCTGACAGATCTTCCCCAGGCAATGTGCTAGTTTAGAAACTTTGTTCTTAGAGTTAGGAGTTATTTCCTTAGATTTCATAGATGCAAGAAACTGCAAGGCATCATGACAGCCACTTAGTATAACCTCCAGTGCTTACTGAACCTGATATAAAAACCCTCCAGCGGCTGACCTTCTCCTACTTCCTTGGCAATGAGCTTCACACCTCAATACTCCTTTCATTCTACCGTTTTTCTCAATCTACAGCAGCTTGAACTGCTTGCCATCTGTCCGTCCTTCCTAAGGACAGCTTAGACTGCAAAGAATTCAAAGATGAAGAGAGGACAAAGAAGGAAAAAGTCCAAATGCCGCTTGACAAATCTAATTTCTTGCAAATGCAAAAAAAGTATGGTTAGCACTATGGAAATACAATTCTGCTTGTACACATTCTTCAAAGATTTAATGATCTGCCTTTCAAATTCGGTAAGTACCACAGCATTGGCCTCACAACTCACGTTTGTTTCAATGGCTGGGCCCATACATCACGAGAAGCTACTATGGTTTGTGGCATCTTGTACCTGCCAGACGATCAGGCTCATCATTGTAACTCTCCTCCCTCCCACCTTCTCCTTTCCTCTCAGTCCTCCAGGTGGTTTCTTGAGGCACTGCAGGGAGGAATGAAGTTCCTCTGTTTGCCAGTCATGATCTCAAGTCAAGTTCAGCTCAGCACAGCTGCCCAGCAACCTCTGTTGTGCACACATTGTGCAAGGCTCATACGAGTGCAGCAGAAACAATGAGGGAGGTGATCAGACACCCTCACCTCCTGCTCCAGAAGGAACGGCTGGAACAGGAGCAGGGGCTGATTCATGTTCAGGCAAAAGGGGCAGCACTCAGCCGACTGCCCAGCTAACTCTTCTTGTGCAACAGGGAGGGAATCAGCTGGGTAGCCCAGCATGCTTGGGGGCTGCATGCCCCAGGCTTTTCCCCTTCTGCCACTCCTCTCACATGCACCAATTACATGAAGAGGCTGCCCAAGTTCTGCCCTGCAACAGGTAAGTCAGTATTTAGTCTTTGCAAATTATAAAGGAGAGCAGTAAGAAAATATTTTGGAATATTGCCAAAATAATCCACAATAAAGGCTATGTTTTAGGAAGAAATTCTTTGCAATGATCAGTGCAGTTACCTTTGTACATGGTTAGTACCGTTGCACATGGTTAACAGACATGGAGCTATAGTGGCTGGCCAGCACTATCAGCAGATCTAAGGAGCATTACTATCTCTTGCTGATTTTTTTTAAAAGACAGATTCATTCAGATTTCTTTCACCGTAGTAAACCTTGAAAGTATCAGCAGCATTGCATTGATTTCAAAGATAAAACTGTGAGGTCATTTAAAAGGCTAAACAAAGTGAACCATTTGTGCTCATGCTCTCATTAGCAGGAGAAAGAGGAATAAAATGCAACCATCAATCATGGCAGCTGAGATGTGACTTTAAAAGTCAGGCAAGCTGTTCAATCTAACAAAGCATGCCAGTGGGGGGAAAAGTAAAATAAAATGACGGTGGTTAAACAATGGTGTTGATACAGCATCACACACAATATTTTACAAAATTTTAGTTCAAAGAAGTGCTTTTCACAGCTTTGTCTTCCTGGTGTGGAATACAAATATAATAAGCATTAATAATACTCTTCCAATTATATGTACAGTAACCACTCTTCTTACCTGCCCTTGCACAACCAATGCCCATCCTATTTATTTCTATAGCTTCTTGAAATTTGCAGTGCTTGTAGCCTTGTTCCATACCCATAACAGTCACACATAATGAGATATGATGACATCAGTTCATAGAACCCAGCTAGTACGTGAAGAAACCAGACTGAGAGCATTTGTGCAAGATGTGTCCTTGCTTTCCAGGAGCACAGGAAGCTCCTCCATATTCCAGGTCAGACAATAGAAACAGAGAGAGTCAGAAGGGGCCTCCCGGGCCATCCAGTCTGACCCCCAGCTCTAGCCAACCCCGCACTGCTGACTCTGACTTTCAGCACCATTTAGGAGCTGCTCCACTTCACTTGAGATGCCTAAGGGTGAGCTTGGACCTTCCAGCACACAAATATAAGAAAAGCCATGCTGGATCAGGTCCACTTAGTCCAGCACTCCATACAGATGGTGGCAACCAGCCACCCACAGGAACCCTTAAGCAGGATGGGTGCAAGACCAGCCCAAGCTCCTCAGAAACTGGTGTATGCAGGGATGCCACCTCTGATAAATGAGGTAGCACATAGCCAGCAAGGCTAGTAGCCACTGATAGCCTATTTTCTAATGAAGCAGGTGGACAGACAAAGCAGGTGTTTGCAGCTGAGTGCATCACCAAAAGCTCAGCCAGTAATCATCGTCAGCTGCTGCCACCTGACACCCTGAAGTTTATTTAAGACATCTTTTGGCATCCTAAGTTTTATTTAAGGGATGAATAGCATGAACCCATTTTCCACCACAGATGCATCTGACAAGCACAGGCACAGGGCAAACATTCCTTAGCAATGCTCCTAAGAAGAATGCTTGCCCCTTCTGACATCTTCAAATTAGAAACAATGTTGTGTACTTATGCTGCATATATTTCTTAAGATAGGTATTGCTTAAGGATTTGACCAGCCATCCTAATGCACAGAACAGCACCAAACTAACTACAGCAAAAGGTAGGTATGGAGGAAGGGGAGACAAATGTAAAGAAGCCACCCTTTTATGGGAATGATGCAAACCCGGTCATGGGGACACCAGCAGAGGTCAATGTGCAGGAACCAGGACGCCTGCATGCCCTCTGTTATTTGAAAGAGGCAATAGGTAATTGATGGGTGGTGTGAACAGAGCATCTGTAATTGGTTAACTGGTTAGAATTTAAGCCTTGAGCTTAGAGGAACAAATTGGTGTCTGTCTAGGTCATCTTGACCCCATAATTGCATTTCATAAGAAGCTGGTCTGTAGAAGCAATTTCTACACAAAATTCATCAACTCAGTAAAACCGTACCTTGTCCAGAAACAACCAGCATTCACAAAGCAACATGCAAGCGCTCAGAAAGCACAGAAAACTACTAAACTACTAAAACACAGAAGCCCAAGTCTTCCACCCACACCTGCCTCCTGTGAAGGAATTTGTCAAAGTAAAAAATGTACACATTTCCTACAAAAGAGAAGATGCTTTTGCCTGACAGATGCACGCATGTGAGTGCACATTCTTCTTAAATCCCTTTGTTACCACATGCTCAAAGTTCAGAGGGAGAGAGCCAACTAAATTATAGGTGGCAGAGGTGCCAAGTAGTATTGCAGAAGTATTTGGGGCACTCATCAGCATCTGGAAGGCATCGTGTGAAAGGAAGGGCTTGCACTGTGAGATTTCCTCAAGGGTGTCAGGGGCAGGTCCCGCTAGGTTCTGCCAGCCGCCAGTGAGCAGGATGAGGGAGGCGGGTGCGGAAGCTCGCTTAGAGCCCCTGTCCTCCCAAGCCCCCTTCCCAGCGTGGCGGCGCCTTACCTTCAGCAGGGCGCTCCGGCTGGCCGCGGCTAGCTCCCGAAGGCTGGCGGCGGCCGAGGCAGCCGCAGCGGCCACGCTAGGGCAGCCGGAGGATGCCGCCGCCGCCGCCGCCGCCGCCGCGTGACAGCCAGGGTTGGCTCCAGGACCCGAGGTGCTTCCTGCCGGGGCGGCGGCGCTGCTCGTCCCCGCCGCGGCGCTCTGGGCGCTGGGGCTGCCCGGGGCGCAGTTGCCGCCGCCGCAGCAGCCGCCGCCCGCCCCGGCGCGGGGTCTCTGCCGGATGCCGTCCAGCAGGCGGACGAGCAGGATGTTGGCGGGCAGCTCGTCCACGCCGCAGCCCACCAGGATGCGGCACTCGGGGCAGCGCAGCTCGTGGCGCGAGCTGACGATGCTCTCCAGGCAGCGGCGGCAGAAGGTGTGCTGGCACGGGAGCACCTTGGCCGTCGTGTCCAGGCGCTCCAGGCACACGGAGCACTCCAGCAGGTCCAGCAGCGACGACTCGTCCATGGCCCCTCCGGAGGCGCCGGCGGCTGCAGGTCCTTCGCCGCCGCTGCCGCCGCCGCCTCCTCCCGCAGCTCCAGCAGCAGCGGCAGCCCGCCGCCTCCGCCTCTCCTCAGCTGCCCGCTTCTCTGCAGCGGCGGCGGCGGCTTTGGAGGAGCACAGCCAGGACGCCCCTAGGAGCATTGAGACCAGCAGCGGAGGCCGCGGGAGAGGCGGCGGCCACGGCACATGGCAGCTGGCGCGGCCGCTGCACCGCGCGCCCGCCGAGGGCCTGTCAGCAGCGGCAGCCCCCGGCCGGAGGGCGGGACTGCGAGACCTGCTTTCCCCCGCCCGCCCTCGTCCCGCGCGGGCGGCTAATCTTCCTTCCCCCGGGCTCGGCCGGGCGGCGGAGGCGCGAGGATGGCCCTGCGCCTGCTCGCGCTCCCCCTCGGCGCCGTCTTCCCGCGGCCCCAATTTAGCGTCGCCTCCACGCCGCTCGCCAGGGGGATCCTCGCCGGAAAAGGGAAGGCGGCGCGCCTGCTGGAAGAAGCGCTTGACGGCACCTGTTTCCTCCCGCTCAGGGCTTGCCGCGACGGGGCATGGCACGCCCAGGGAGCAGAGCGCGGACTTCTGCGGCGCGGTTCGTCAGCGGGCGCCGGTACTGGCCCCCAGGGCCGTGGCAGGTGGCACCGGCGAGCAGCCCGGGGCCGGGAGAAAAGCGATCCTCCTCCTCCTGCTTCTCAGGGACGGCTGCGCGGACCTCCTGCTGCAAGTTGTCGCCTCCTCGCCCGAGCTTCGCCTCCCGCGCTCTTCCATGGCAGCCCCTTCGCTGGAACCCGACAGCGGCGGCAGCCTACATCGCTCCTGCGCTCGGGCTGCCCACCTTCCAAACCATCCAAACAGGGGACACGAGTGGAGGCGGTGGTGTGCAAGCCGGGCAGCGGGACGCAACGGAGGAGACTCCCGCAGGCGCGCGCGACCCTTGGCGCCAGTGCCACCGGCGACTTCTTCACCCGCGCCGGGGCTACGGCAGGAGACCCCAACTTGGCCCTCTTCGTTGCGCCAGCGAGCTCAGCCTGATGCAGAGCAACGGGCAAGTTCTCTTCCTCGTGGGTGATCGCGGGCGGCTTCGCCCTTCATTGCACAGCTGGCCTGGAGCAATTAGCCAGCAAGGCAGCGGCCCAGGGCCCTCCCTCTCCGATGCCCCTTGTACTATCCCCCCGAGATGCTGCTGCTGCTGCTGCTAATAGAAAGAGGCTGGCCGGAGCACCGCTTCAGCTCAGCAGCTCCGCTGAAACGTCATTCGTTGCGCAGAGGGATTCCGACTCCAGAAACATCTCCCGTCTACGAGATTCGGCATCAGAAACGCCTCTGTTCTTCCAGAACTGGTCCGTCATCGCAACGTCTTTCGCTCCTGCTGGAGTCCCCACTAACCGGCTCCTACTGGATCCAAAAAAGAAGTTTGCTGGATGTCAGCAAGAACATGCCAACTTCGGGCAGCACTTTCGGTGCTGCGACACTGCGGACCGTGCGCTTGGCCATCACCCGGGCGGCGGAGGGGGCGTTTTCTCCTGTTCGAGCCTGGTCCCAAGCGAGCGTCAGAGCGACGGAAATACGTCCCCCAGAAGCAATCCGAGAAGATGGGGAAGTTTGCAGAAGTTTCCTCGCATCGGAGCAGGACAAAATGCCTTATAGTTGGCTTCCCCCTAGTGGAGTTCCGTTTGAAGAGCAATTGGTGAACTTGCTGTGGGAAGGAGATTTCAAGTTTTCCTCTCCTGGGAGCTAATTCGTGACGGAAGCGACGCAATGTTTATTCAACCAGCTGCACTTCAAAATTGTCAAAATTCTGCACTGGTACACTGTTAAAACAACCCTCAAATAACCCACTATTTGTTTTAGGATTAACTCTGAAACAACTCCCCCCACCCTGGTTGTGAGCAACCCTTTATCCATTGATGGGTAAATATTCAAGATGGCCTTCCACAGCTTTAATCCTCAAATCATCCCTGCAATCTCGGTTCATGTCCAGAGCTTGAACAGGCAGCTGGGCACCAGTTTATAGAAATTGTGGTGGGCTGCAGCACTTATACAAAATAAGTGTCAGGGGAAAGTGAGGAAAGCTGATGTGAGCTTGTGCATCTTTTCTCTGCCCAAAGTTTGGAGAAAACAAAAACAACTGCTCTGCATGCAAAAATAGAGAGGAAGCAGAAAATACAAAGCAGGCAGATGCAGAAAAGGCAAAGGACAGTATTCCCTTGCAACCCTTGATTTATTTAGTAGCAAGATTAAGGGCATAATCCCAAACCAGCATTTCCTGGTTTATTGCAAATAACTGCTTTCTTCCATCCCGTTCTCCTGTGCTTGAAAACATTTTGTGGTTTGTAATCACTCTTCTAGCCTTCCCCTAGCAGCACTTTCAATAAATCATCCATTAATGATGCACTTATGGGTGCACAGAAGTCCCATTGTCTGCTTGTTTTTCATAGATCTAATATTGATAAGGCTTCTCCCAGCAATAGTGATTCATATGAAGCTACCGCTGCTTCTAAGAAGGAGCTTCAATGTAGGGTTAAAGGGACAAAGCACAAGCATGTGGCTGGAGCAAGTGTTGCTCCTTAGAATGGGCTTCAGCTGGCACAAAGGTGTTGTGGATAAGGCTGCCCCTTTTCAGCAGTCAGATGATCCATGCTGCTGAGTAATGTTCAGCAGTGTCCTTGTAGAAAGAGGCCAAACTTTGCAGTAAGATAAACTATAAATACTACTGTTGTACAGAGAAATGTGAAATACAAGTATCAAGGACTTAGGTAAAACTGTCAGTCTCAGGAATAAAAGCACTAGAGAACATTTAAGGATAGCATGCGTTGCTTTGGGAGGGAGAAAGAATGAGATAGACTGGAGATGTATGTAACAAAATATAGGTGCCCTTTCAGTTTTGTTTCAGATCATTTCCTTCAAAGATGCACACTTTAAAGTTTGTCAAAGTCACTGGTCCCAGTTCCGCTACACTACATCATTAATGAAGCTGAAGTAACACAACTATCTCATTCTTGAGTTACACAAGTTGGAAAAGGAACGGATTGTTATTAGGTCTCCTGCAGTGATGCGATGCAATACACAGTATAGTAAAGACAATATAGTGGAATAGTGATGCCACTTCAAGGCAGTGCATGCATTTTGCTATTCCAACAGTGATGAAGGGAGAAGGAAATAGGCATAGACAAGGCCTGACAGGGAGACACATGGTGTAACAGATTTAGATGGGATCCTATTCTTTCACAAAATAACAAGTTTGGAGGGCAAGCCACAAGAAGCTTTAGGAATGCCAAAAATAGCCCCTTTAAAAGGATTTCTTAATCTATAGCCATTGTTATGATGTTAGGAAATGTGCTGACAAGGAGAACATGTTCTTATGATGGATATTATCTAGTTGGTGATGAGACCTTGCAATTTTTTATTATCCTACAGAAAAAAATTAAATGTTCAGCAAGCAGCATTCCTTAGAACTAGAAGGTGATACTAAAACGCTATGGGACTTGGTTCTGAGAGCACACAAAAGCAAAGCTTCTGTTCCCTAGCTCCTTAGAAATACAATATAAGGATACCCGATCCCTTTTCATGTTACAGATTTGAGCAGGGATGTTCATCTTGTAGTTTGCATTATTCATGGTAGAAGGCAGCTTTGATCAAAAACAGGAATTTTCTGAATGGAGGCTGAATTTAAAGGGTGTGTGTATATATATATATTGTGATCCAAAGTAAAGAGGAAAGGGGCCTTGTCTGTTCAAATGGATTACTGCCTACCCCACTGGTTCCCAACTGGTGCTCCCCCCCCCCATATTTGCTGGTTTATTATCCTTAGCAGCATGCTAGGGTTGTAGTCTACACAGCTGGAGGCCCCAAGCTGCTCTACCCTAATTCAATCATATCTGCACCTTTGCATTTTCTGTTGGTTTTTACTTCTATTACATGATTTTTAAAAAATCATGGGTTGTCACTGAGGATGCGATGAATGTATGCCTCTGCTAGAAGAACATGCACCAAAGGTCTTTTTCATGTTGGGTTGGTCAGAGTCACTTATTTCTCCTTCTGCATATACTGGTCCCATGCTAGGATTGTTAGCATGTAATAACTTTGTGCCATGTGAACTCAGCCAGGGTCGCTTGTCACTCTTGGTAACAAGAACTCATGGGCAATTAAAGGCTTTCAGGGTGATTTGTACCCACTCTCATCAGGTTTGGATGTAACAACAAATTGTGGCAGGTGAGGGCAATTATGCTAATTAGGCAGTTCATAACCTGTAATCATAGAGAAAGAAAATGAGCCAGCATGGCTTATTTGCATTCCATGACAAAGCAAGCCTGCCCATTGGTGGACTAGACCTAAAAGTGTAAGTTAGTTTCATACATAGGATTTAACAATCATAGGAAGCTGTATTATCCAAAAATCCAATAGCCTCAGGAGGATAGTACCTTCATTATAGTTTTCCGAGCTTTGTGTCCTTCAGATGTTGGACTACAACTTCCACTTTCTCCAGAAAGCATGCAATGGCTCAAACTCACATAGTTTATCATTATCATGATAAAGTATATATTTATACCTGCCTTTCTTCTTTTATACCTGCCTTCTTATGAGGAACGTAAGGCAGTTTACAAGGTTCTTCTCCACTTCATTTCATCCTCACAACAACAGCTCTGTGAGGTAAGTTAGGCTGAGAGTCTGTGGCTGGGCCAAGGTCGCCTACTGAGCTTCATGGCTGAGTGGGGACTAGAACCTGGACCTCCTGAGTCCCATTCTTACACTCTAATTGCTGTGCCATCAGGCATGTTCACAGGACACAATAGCCACAGTTCAAGCTAAAAAGCCAAAGTAAAGCCTTTATTATTTAGCTACTGCAAGGTGCTCTTTCTTCTGGCAAGGCTGATTAACGTTCTCGTGACTTCAGTTCCTTTGAGGTTTATTTAGCCATTGGCTAAGGATGGCTAACCATTGAAAGTCAGCAGTACAAACTTCACCTGCATTTGTAAAGA